GGGCTGCACCCGCAGCCCGGGGCCCACACAGACCCCTCGGCCCACTTACGCGGCGTGTAGGATGGCCCGGATGTAGTAATTCCTTGTGAGGGGCCCGAACACCTTCACCACAGCCGTCATGTACTTCTGGCCACTGTACGGGAAGATAGAGTGACACAGAGGGGTCAGGCCGGCACCCAGCGCTGAGAGACCCCCTCCCAGGACCTCCCTCTCGCATTGACCCATCCCCATGCTCCCTCATAGCTGCCCTCCTGCACCCCCCATTGATACCAGCACCCCAGGAAACCTGCCTGCAGGATCTGGCCCTGCTCATGTCAGCAAATTGCCCAGGTCAGAAAGCCTGGAAGAAGCTGTTCCCAGCCATCTCCATGCCCCTCTCCTGACCGTGCACCCTCTGATGCTGTGGGGGCCTTTTACCAGGACCCCAAATTCCCAGTGCCAGGGGGGCAGCACCTACCATCTCTCCATGGTGGAGCCCTTTTTCCGCTTGCTCCTGGGGTATTCGAGTAGGCAGACGAAGACGCCTGCTGCGCTGAGGTGGGGGCAGCGTCAAGGAAAGGGATGCTCAGGGTCTGCAGGCCACGATTAGGGGCATCACCATCACTGGAAAAAGCGGGGTGGGGGGGGGAGGGCTGGAGCAGGGTGCGTGACACGGGGACAAAGCCATGCAGGGGCAGCAGAGAGTGGACCAGCCCCCCCCCCCCCCACCCTCATCATCCCCAGGTAATGGGGCCAGCACCCCCAGCCTCCCAGGGAAGTTTTGCAGAAACGTGAAGGTCATGATGCACTTTCAGGACCTGCAGGAAAAGAGCCATTTGGGACAAGAAAATGGTGATTTTGGAAAAGAAACTTGTAAAGAAGAGGAACTTGGGAAAAGAAAGTGAAAGTAAAGGCTAGTTGCTATGCTCCAGCAACTCATCCCTGTCTGGCTCCCCTGCAAACAGCCCGGCCGGTCCTCAGCATCACCTCCGGAAGGATACATGGCGTACGCCGCGAAATACCAGCCCTTGAACTGCCCTGCCACGGCCACGATCCCTCCGGTCAACATAACTGCGGGGACACAGCAGGGTCAGCCAGGCAGGCTACGTCCTGTGGCCCAGCAGGGCCCTGCCCCGGGGACCTCTGCCATGCCGGACCCCCTCTGGTTTGAGGGAGGGGAATTGCAGGACTCTGGGGAGAGGTTTTTTTTTTCCCGGCGACTGCACACCTCCGCCCATGAGCTTTGCTCCACTCCCAGCTGCCTTGTACAGACAGGACGCCCGGAAAGAGGAGGAAGAGGAGGCTCTAGTCCTGCTAATCCCCAGGCTGGATGGGACTTTCCCAGGCCGTCCTGGGCAGCATCACACCTCCTGCTTGCACCGCCCTGGAAAACCCC